TATATATATATATATATATATGGAGAGAGAGAGAGACATGTGAGAGAGACACATGGGTGGGCTGCCTCCCACACATGCCCCGACCGGGGCTGGGGATCGAACCTGCAACCCAGGTACATGCCCTTGGCCGGGAATCAAACCTGCGACTTTTGGTGCGCCGGCCGACGCTCTAACCACTGAGTCCACCGGCCAGGGCTAGGACCTCACATTCAGTGAATGACGGTTTCATGAGTAACCCGAAGCATCTTGGGTACTCCTACAAAATATCCCAAGCAGCCAAAGTCTATGTCACTGAAGGTCGTGTTTGTGGAGACAACGCCACTGGGAAGAAATCCGTAACTTTTCCAGGAAAGCTGCCGCTTCCGTTGCCAGGCATCAGCAATCCTTCCCCATCCTGCAGCTTGACCCGATGGTCAGGGTCGTGGAGACCAACCGGCTGTGGGTCCAGCATCGTCCCTGCTCCCACTTCCTAGAGCCCAGCTGAGCTTCTCAAAGGGCAAAGTGGAAATGGAGAGACACCGAGGGCGGGGCAGGGTTTTGCTCTGCTCTTTAGTTAAAGATGTGGCTGCAAAACCCCACCCAGATCCACATTCCTCTGGACTGGAATGAGGCTGGGTCACTGTTCTCAGCCTCAGATAAGGTGCCCAGGTCACTGAGCGGGAAAATGGCTCGTCTGGCCTCCAGGCCCAGCTTCCTCAGACTCCACGGAGCTCCTTCGCATGGAGAGGGGAACAAGCCCCGTAGATGCTGGAGCACCAGGCTCAGCCCGGCCAAGCTGGAGCCCCCGCAGCCTCACCTGCAGCCTCACTTGCATGCGCACCCCAACCCGCACCTGCAGCCTCACCTCTCTGCATGGTCCAGGAGTGGCTCCTCTGTCCCCTCCTGCTCCTGCTGTTCCTGCTGGCCAGGCGGCACACGGCCCAGCACGAGACTCCAGGCGAAGGCCAGCAGCAAGCAGCACGCCAGCGCGAGTCCCAATCCATGGGACCCCATCGTCCCGCAGCGCCCTGCTGGGAGACACACACTGGGAAGGATGCGGTTGTCAGGGGCTCCACAGGGGCACCCAGCTGCCCAAGCCCACCAAGCCTCCCAGGATGGGACCCCCCGGCCATGGGGTTCCACAGACGGTCATTTATCAGCCTTATTAGGACAACAAGCAAAATCCCACATGGGTTTTGGGGATCACTGTGCAGCGACTCTGCCCCAGCCGGCACCTTGGGAACCGGCGAGTAGACAGGTGTGCACATTGCTCTGTGGCCACCAGAGGACGACAACCAGTGAGCGTCCCGGAGCATCCAGTTTACAGTGTCAGGCGGGGCCCAGCCCCAGCCCCAGGGGGCAGCTGTAGTCCTCGGAGGCCAACCCCATGTCTCACTCACCCTGCTCTGGGAAAAGCCACAGACAGGACCTTTCTAGTCCAGGATTGAGACGGTCCTTCCACACAGAGATGTCCACGGGGGGCCCAGTGAGCCCACTCGGGTGGTGCTTGGGTTTAAAATAGGCAAAGCACCCTACTGGATTTTAGTGAGGGGTATCCCCCCAGCTAGCTGTGGCCAATCCTCACCCATCTTTGCTCATAATTTAACACCTCAAAGGACCTGTGGCGATGTAGTTTGACCGTCTTTGGCTGCCCAGTGAGAAAACCGAGGCCCAGTGGGAACAAGAACCGCCGGCCATGTCGGGGTGGGATCAGGTCATGACTGAGACAAGCCATACAAGCCAGACAGCAACCTCCAAAGTCCTGCACCTGATCTCTTCTAATTCCTCTTTTATGTTTAGGGAAACCGAAGCCCTGAGACGGAGTTCTCCATTGTCAGGACTATCTGCCCCGATAAATGCCGCTTCGACGCTCCCAGGGAGCCGGGGCTTCCTTCAGACACCCACTGTGCGGAGGCCTGGAAGTGGCGAGGGCGTGACCCTCTGCCCTGGGCCGGTCTGTGGGGTTCCCGCTTACACCCCATGTTAGGGGCTCCCTGTCACAGCTCTGGAGAGACCCCGTGCCATGTCAAGAGGACAGAGGGGAGGCAGAGAGTGGGGACCAGAGCCTGGGACAGAAAAGGCAGATGTGATGAGACTCAGAGCCGGGAAGACGCCCCCTCAGGAGCCCCCTTCCTCCCAGTCACCCACCTTCTGCATGATCCCCACCCCTCCACTGCAGGGCATTAGCTGGGCCCCTGCCTCCAAGTTGTCCACCAGCCAAGCATCAGGGCCCAGGGACCCTTCCGGTAACTGAGGCCGCTTGGACCAGCCTCCCACTCAAAATCTTTACGACCTCCCTTGGCTCCTTGGCAGGACAAGCCTGACCCTCCACCTCTGTCCCCACTCTCAGCTGCTCAGCACAGCACCCCTATACCTCGAATTTGAACCCACACACATAGCCCGGGAATCTTATCAAAATACAGATCCTGCTTCACCGGCCCTGGGGCGGGGCCATGAGCATCTGCATTTTCAAAAAGGCCCAGGTGCCGCCAGTGCTGCTGGTCCGAGGACCACGCGAGGGCCAGGTTCCAGTCGCGCCCTCACACACCCGCCTCCACCCAGCGGCAGGCCGCCCTGACCCTGGCCGGGAGCTCTCCTCTCTGCTACCAAGAACCCGGCTAGCGGGGCCCCGGCCACGGGCACCGGGCGCCGGGCTGGGCGGGCAAGTACCGTTCCGTTCACTCTCGCGGCCTCGCCCGTTGGCGTTGGGCCTGAGAACACGTCCTTTCATCATTTCACCCCGTCGCAGACCCCGTATGAACCTGCGGTGACGCCCTTAAGGGGACAACATTCACTCATCGCGACACCGAACTTACTAATGGAGAAACAGACGAAGGGAAGTGGTCAGCCTGAGATCGCCCAGTTTTTAAGCACAAGGGGATGGAGGTGGGGGATGCGCGCTGGACAGGCTGCCCTCGGGTCACGTCAAAATCTTACCCGGTCTTCAGGACCCCGGGGGCTCAGGGCCTCCTACGTCACCTGGAGCCTCCCCAACCCGCGCCGGGCACTAACTCTCCCTCCTCCTCGCGTTCGCTCCTTACGGCCTCTTGTTCTGCACCTTCGCTTGGCCCGTGAGACTCCACACAGCCCACGGTGACCTCCCCCGGGCCTGGGACATCCTCGAGTACCTCTCGGACCAGCCTGAACTTGACTGTCACTTGACCCATTGAATTCTCTGTATCTGTTGATTTCCCTCTCTGTGTGCTTCCTGTTTTCCTCGCCGCCTTAATCATGACTCTCTTTTTCTTGTAAATGCCAAGCTTGCATCTCTTGGAAGGAAGAGAGGTTTTCCTTTCTTTAAACTTTTTTTTTGGTGGGGGGAGGGGAGCAGGGGGATCCAAAATAATGCATTTTGGAGAAGCCGGGAAACAACAACAGGAAGTGAAGAGTGACTTTGGGGTCCTGCCTCTGTCCCCGGGACTCCTCAGCCTTGGCACCACTGACATTTGGGGCCGGGCGATTGTTTGTTGGGGGGATCGTCCTATGCATTGTAGGATGTTTAGCAGCACCGCTGGACGCCTGCCACCCACTAGATTCCATGAGCACCACCACCGCAGCTGAGACACCCAAAAATGTCTCCAGAGTTCGCCCGTG